AAATGGTTTGATATCCTAAAAATAGATGGTTCGAGACCATCATTTCTAGTTATATCCTTTCTGATTTATGGAAGATTTAGTCAAATTTGTTGACACATTGATTGATTTGTAAATTTTGTACATAGGTGGCATCCCTTTGGTGCTATATCAATACAATTCACACCTTATGTTTAAAAAAAAAAAAACTTCTCTAGGGTTTTGACTAGAACTTGCTAAAGTGGCTAATTAAGTTCTCCATTTCTGATTTATTTAGCGCACATAAGCATATGGACTAAATATATGTCAACTTTCAGAGATATTAAAAGTTTATTACAACAGATAACTTCCCCATAATTACTTCCTATGGAAGGAATCAAACCATCAGTTCAGATTTTTTAAAATCCTATAGCTCTTTTTGTTGCCCATGATATCTATAACCTATTTCATTGCACCCAGAATTTGTAAAATTTTTGCCATCAACATGACTAAACATTCTCCTCTCAACTCACATCATATACTAATCAGGTCAGCCATTTTCATGAAAAAAGTTGAGTCCTAACTTTCACTTCCTGAATTGCATGTACCATGTTCATTCCATGGAAGGAATACATGTTGAACTTCCTGGACAACAAGTACATGTTGAACTTGATAGTAGCTAAATTAACAATGGTCATCGCATATTCTCATCATGGTAGTATTTTTATATAATCATACCTTAAATATGAATGTATCCATCTACTTATGCATATATCTACCTGTGCACATATACATGGTATTTTCTATGAGCGTGCGGGTGTTAGGTGCAAACACGTGCAATCTCCATATGTCTTTACATGCTAATGTTTTTTTATAAGTGCAAAAATTTTAAATTTTTTATAAGGCCAATATTTATCTTCTACTATTGCAATTACTTAGCACAGTCTCCTTTCAAGAAAAGTAGGATAATGGAACCATGATTCAGTTAACCAGATTTAAGCCTTCTCTAAGGATCATGAGTCTTCCCTTTGTCTCCAAAGGTCTCTACTTTTAAAGGAAAAGTTTACTCCAAATCCATTTTTTTGTATCTAACTGTTACCAGTCAAAACACATATTCAAATTACCATGGCAGCAAGGAAATGAGAATTCCTTGGAGTCAATCCAGTAAATTTTGGAGACTCAAATGAAACAGCATAGAGTACCTATGTAGAAAATTGGCGGAAGCTCAAATGGAGATATCAGAACACAACTACAACTCATGAACTCAATTGGAAGGAGGGATTGAGGATGACGAAGTTTATTTTTTGAAGATTAGATTAACACGATATCTAACCAAGTAAATCAAAGGAGCAATTAGTAAGCACAAGTTAGATTCCAAACAGAAAAACAAATAGAGCTTTCTCCAAGATACTTGCGTGTTGAATTGACAAAGTCCACAGACAAACAATCATTTGTTGCTATACTATGGAATGCCATGTCAATTTATAGTGTAAGCTTTTGCAGTTCTTGAGTCATGGGTTTGCTTCTACCTTTGCAATCTCCATATCCACCTATTTTAGGGATTAGAGGAGGAGGAAGGAGCTCAAGATTTTATAGCATCACACTCTTCGTTGGGTATTGGGCTCCAGGATCGGATGCAACATAAAATCTTGAAGAGGCATATTCAGCATTCTAATCTTATCCAGGAGGGATGTTTTTGGTCTTTCTGCAGGCTAAAGCACATTGTTCTTAGGGATATAACATTATCTAGTTTGTAAAGGAATTGGGAGAATCTTCTATGCTGAGGTCCCCAGAACTTTTTTCTTTGTTCTGTATTTTGTCCTCTTTTTGTCTAGCTTTTCCTCCAATCTTGTACTCTCTTAATCTCTTTTCTTTTTGTAGAAAACAACTTAAATCCCATAATTCACAAAGCGAAAGGATCCATGTCAAAGTATGTTACAGAATCTAAACCTTGAGCATTCAAGCATACCTGAAAATAGTCATGGACTTGAAATTTTTAAGTGTTGCAATCTACTTTACATGAACCTCTCCAATGTTTCTACTTTAAGAAATTTAAGTTGTCTAACACTTATAATAGTTCCTTTAATTATGTCATGTCTGGATCGATCCTAATCCACAAGATCACAGAGCAAGTAATTGATATTTCAAGTGAACTTCTTCACCCTCTATAACTATTACGTTCCCTGGTTAAAGATCGAGTTACTGGACGGTTGACAACAAAGTCGTCTTCAAGCAAAGAGTTAATACTCTTGTTTTATTATGAGAGTAACCTATTTTGTAGAAATAGATTACAGCTCATTAAAAGAAAACTGCTACCTTAGATCTTGTTAGAGAAAATTCTAATCTCGTAGTTTAAGATAAATTCTAACTTATTTTATTAATAGCAAGAATACCTCTTTAAATAGAGGTTACAAGTATTAGGAATCTGAGTTTAATTAGGAATACTCTATTAAAATATTCAAAATCTATATTATTTAGGAATGTAATATTAATGAGAAATCATATATTATTTACGAATTCAATACTAACTAGAATTCCATATTTAATTGAGCATCAACCTCTTATTATTTAGAAATCTAATACTAATTAGGATTCTATATTTATTTTTTAAAAAATAAGTTTCCATATTTAATTGAATTTCAACCTCTTATTTAGCCACTGTCTTACCTTTCATATTTACGGCCTACAAATGCATCTATAACAATAACTTCTTTCGCTAGGTTTATGCAGTCACAATTACCTTCCAATACCTCCTTTCCACACTCCTACACATCCTAACACAGTTCATATACTTCCTGCATAAGCAGTCTACTGTCCTTTGGATCTCCAAATAACAAGATTGGGCTTGAGGCAGCCCATGCACTCTTGCTTGTATTGCTGCTATAACTAATTCTGGTATGACTTTTGCCCTGGTACTAACTTGTAATATCAAAAGAGATAACAGACAGAGGGCAGCTTGAAAATAACTAAATAATTCTTTATTCTCCCGGTATGTCAACAAGGAAATTAGAGAGAAATACCACGCCATAAAATATTTAATAGATCTGAAAACTACTAAAAAGAACCAACCTAGAGATAAGATATAGATATCTGTAGGATTCTGCTAATCCCATACCCACTAGGGCTTTTGACACTTAAAAAATTTACATTCAAGGAGACTTTGAGGAAATACTTTGATTATTCTTTTTTCTAACCTTAACATTTATTTTCATTGGGACCATCCTTATTGCTGAAAAGTGTACGTTATCATTTTCTCTTTTTCTTTTAAGGAAAGGATACAGAGGATCAAGTCCACATAGCCCTTGAAGACATCTAAGACCAAGAAGATAAAAATAATTCTAACTTAATAAATATATACATAATAATTTAATATATAAATTGCTGCACTGTTCAAATTACCTCAGCAACATTGTGACCGTGTCGCCTTTTATCCACAATGGCTAAAGGCGCATCAGATAATTTTTTTGCAAAAGCACGTGCTCTTGCAACCCCACCAACATCAGGTGAAACCACTACCAAATCACTAGAAGAAATTGTCTTGCTAGCAAGGTAATCAAGAATCACAGGCTGAAATGAACAGAATAATTAAGAATAATCAGGCAACAAGAGATCAAAAAGGCATGGCAATTAAAGCTTTGGAGTACCTACCTGACAGTACACATGGTCCACCGGAATATCGAAGTAACCAACAGACTGCCCAGAATGAAGATCACAAGCAAGAACACGATGTGCACCAGCCTCAGTTATAAGGTTTGCAACAAGTTTGGCTGCAATAGATTCACGCCCTTGAGTCTGAAAAAGAAAAAAGTTATTGATGTATAACATCAGTATCCTACAGATACTTCAGAAGATTGTTACACCAGTTGAAACATAAATTAAAAGAACTAACGACATCAGTGGTTTGTTATATCATCTAGAATCATAGCTGAATCGTAATATGCTACAGTAAGAACCATAAAGTGAGTTTGGATACATCATTATTGTTATTATGGTTCCATTTTCCAAAATATTCACTACCAAAAATTTTCCATATCTCTCATCATATAATCTCCATTCTTTAAGCCCCGAAGGTAATGCAAAGACATATATCCCAGATGAGTCTGTCCCAGAGGCCCAGAGTGTAAAATTTACCTTCCTGTCAGCCCGGGCATATCCAAAATATGGAATCACTGCTGTGATATTCTTGGCCGAGGCCCTACGGCAAGCATCTATCATAATTAAGAGCTCCATGAGATTCTCGTTTGCTGGAGGACAGGTAGGCTGCACTAAATACACATCACATCCTCTAACACTCTCTTGCAGCTGAACATAAATCTCGCCATCGGCAAATCGCTTTATATTAATCTTTCCCAGCTCTAGGCCCATGTACCAAGCAATTTCCTTCAGATAAGCAAGAATCAGCAAACCTAAAATTCCAAAGATAATACATGGAATAACTATATCCTGAAAGTTACTAGACAATTTGATAAGATATCAATATATCATAGAAAGATGTTGATATTAACGTTGGATTTGGTTCAAAATTATTCTACTCTCATTCCATTTCTATATCTTAATTACTTATATTGTACAATGATAAATTTGTATCCCAATATACGGAAGGAAAAACTATAAAAACATGTAACTTTAGACATACAACTAACTTGGAATTATAGTATTATTGCATTCAAATTTCTATGCAATTTATATTGTACTACTATTCCTATACCATAAAACTGTAATTTAAAGCAAACTCGACATAAGAGCTATGAAACTTGTAATTCACTAAGGTTTAGGAATGTAACATGACCGATGTTTGACACGTTTTATCCCAGAATAATTTATTCCTCTTTATAACCATAACTAATCTATCCCAGAATAATTTGTTCTCTTTATAGCATAATCATAATCATTTTGAAAAAGTTCAGATTTTCATTTTAACATCTAAACAAGGATTATTAATTATTAGACAGAAAAATTATATAGGTTATACATCACTTTAGTTACCTGAGAAAGTGCCGGATTTGCTGTGCCTGAAAACAACTTCAGCCTGGTACTAGTTCTATTTACTGTCTTTTCCATTCGCGCCGATTCCAAAAATTTGGGCAGTGTCCTTTCATTGAGGATTTGAATGCTTTGCTTCCCATTTCCAAAATTAAATGGTTCAGGCAGATCACATTTCTACCAGATCAATGAGCATACATATTGTTATAAGTTCATAATTTATCATAAATCATAAACCCCGAAACATAAACTTCCCCTGCAGCGACAGTAAAATTCTTTTTGAAATCTCTTTCTCTTAATAATGCCACAATTATTCGTTAATGCCATCAAGTAACTCTACACAGACTTCAACTGCAGAAAAAGCCTCCAGAAAGCGAAAAAAAAATTGCGGTGGCCGGGGAGGGACACTCCGGCTTTAGATAACAAAAAAAAAAAAAGCAGAAATCGCCCTTTCCCAAATTAATTTGTGAATTGTTACTGAATAGCAAGAAGAAACCCGACAATACGTAAACACACACACATATATATATCGGTTCTAACCGCAAACTACACAATTGTATGTCCCCGGTCAAATAATTGAAAATTAAATAGAGCGAAAAAAAAAAAAGAAAGACATGCATGAATATGGAGATAGATATATATCCCTGTACTTGCAAACTGATATACGCGTGTTTGTGAGTGTTATCGCTTACGAGACTAAAAGGAGCGGAGAATTGAGAGGTTGGCTTGTAGACAGAAAACCCGTTCGAGAGGCGGCGGGAAAAGGGAGAGGAAGAAGAAGACCCCCAAAAAGTCGAGGTTCTGGAAGGAGGAGATGGCAAAGTAAGTGAAGCCATTATGATTTTGAAATAAACTGAGGATCACGATACCAGCTAATAAGACCAGGGCCTGAAACAGCTTGAATCCGATCGAGAGCGAGCGCGTTTGTCGAGCTCTGTTTCTCTCTGCCGAGGTCTCGAAAGAGAAAGGAGAGTCCCTTTATCAATGGAGGGAGGGGTAACTCCGACGCTCCTCCACACTATTCGTATTTATATTTGACTAAAATAAAATGCAACTCATACATTGCACAAACGACGTCGTTTTTTTCTCATCCATAAATTACACGAATTTATGCCTAAAAGAAATTCCTTGAATTTAGACCACAAATCCTTGACAATCAAATTCCTTTTAGAGCTCTTTTGAATAAACTACTTTCTTAGAGTAGTAGGACTATGTTTCAAAGTATTTAGTCAGGCAAATATGATAAATATAATATATTACTATATACTTTTTAAAATAATTTTAATTAAATTTTTAAAAAATTATATCACGATTAGTAATATTATGATAAAGTTTGATAACATAATAAAATATATATTAATATGCCCTTTTAATTTAAAAATCATATTTATTTTATATATTAAAATGTAATGTATGAGTATAAATATACGGAAGTTAAAAATATTTATATCAATTACATAAATTTTTTATTATATCAATTTAAAATTTTATTTTAATCTATATTCAAATAACATAAATATTTACTCACTGAATATCATGCTTGGACATAATTTTTAAACAAAATTATTAGTCACAAAAATAGTAT